CTCCTCACTTTTTGCGTCGTATTTCCCTTATGCATTAGTTCATAACAATTCTGAAAAAAATGGTTGTACCAACTTTTTCTGTCACACTTTTCTGCACTGCGTTCCGTAGGAATGAAGTGGACCATCATTCAAATCTACTGCTCTCATATTCTTGTTATATGAGGGAATGGTGCAGGATTTTTCCTGAAGGGAGATCTTGTGCAAGTTGAGTTGTCGACCATACACGAAAGATATCAATGCAAAGTTGATATTCATAGAAAAATGAACTGGAATACACAAAATGCATTCACATTATTTCTCATGACAAAGTACTGACATACATTTATTCACAAGACTTGCCCCTTCCCAGAATCCCATTGCCGGCAAGTGTGTTACAGCATAATTCTAACACCGTCCTCTATAATTTGATACGCTTGGCAACTTACGAGTTGGAGTTAAATATTTTTGAAGATGGTATTATTCATAGTTCCGCTTGATTTCGTTAGCAGATGGTGTGGCTAATGTACAAATATGTCAAAAGGCTATACATGTAGGCTATGTCATTGATATAAGGGTGTATTCGTACCTGTCAAATATGTGCTGTGTTGAAGAAGTCTATGTCCAAAGTTCATATAGATGGGAAAAGACGTGATACCCTTTATCAAGGGGAGATGATTCTCTTGGGAGTTCCATGACGACGAAGCTGTCCGCATAGTACCCAAAACTTCACTTCATTCTATGCCACCTTTGATGGAAGACATTGTCGACGGACGCTGTGCTCTGCTGTTGGTCCTAGAGACTCATTCACACATCTTCACAGCAGACGAACTGTCGATTGACAAGTATCAATAAATGTCGAAATCGGACTGGTGGATCATACCAAGGATGCTTCAAGCAACAATGGACACGGTAAATGATTGTTGAAAACAATTAGTCCGGGCATCTGCTATTGTTCATATTAACAGTTATGTCAGAAAACAAAATACTAAACCATAACAGTGTTCTTATTCAAGAGTGTGTAGTATTAACAGAAACTCGCATTTCCCTCGACCGAACGTCTGCATTAGTATGCAGGAACCTCGAGATGTTCTGGAACATATTCCTTCCCATTGTGTGTTGGAACCAAAATGATCTTTAAGTTTAAGCGATTAACAGTGCCAATGCGTTAAGTTTATGCGATTAACGGTTCAAATACGTTAGGTTTAAGCGATTAATGGTGCCAATACGTTAAGTTTAAGCGATTAACGGTGCCAATGCGTTAAGTTTAAGCGATTAGATATTCCTCTACGTTTGGTTTAAGCGATTAACGGTTTTCTGTTTTCTGGTAAGCCCTCTAACTTAAATACTCACGAAATTCATATATATAGTGTCCGCTTCATTTCCTCTGTCGTTCGATGAAGTAGAGGACACTATTCCGGAACATTTGGTCTTATTCTCCTTGTATTTTTTCAGAGGTCTTCATGAAAAATTTATCTTTCTTTCATTTTTTGTCCTGGATATATTGACTTTAAGTCTGGATTGTGATTCTGTCAACACGTTGATATTATCTTGTTTATTTACATAGTTGCAGAATCTATATTATTTTACCTTGACTTCATTATTAGCCTGATTGTATTTATTGTTGTAACCGTCCTCCATGATGTTTGTAATTTCTAGACGTTGTCGTCCTCTCTGGTATGTGCTGCTCAACTTCTTTATATGTTTTTTTTCTGCAATGCAACGCCAGGTCTCCACTCTGTTCTTTGTTGGGGAGGGCAGTTTTCCAATTACAGTGTTTCAGATATGATATCATGTAATCATAGTTTCCTTTTTATATCGGCCACCCTATTACGATAAAACTGATTCTTCGCAAACCACCATATAGTATTGTGTGGTTATATTACTTATGCATTAACAATGACCCTTCTCTGCCCTATAGTATTGCTTGGTACAATGACGTTAGTATACGGTCTGAAATTATCATTTAATGGCTTTATAATCGCGGTAATATCTTACTATCTAATAATCTCTATTTTCAATAGTCGATAACTTGCCAGATTGGATTTACATATCTAATTTTCTTTTTATTTGTGTTATTTAAAATATCAGCAATACTTATCTTGACTAAATTGAAATATATTCAATAACATGTCTCCACATGTGTAACAGATCGAGGCAGGTAGAATATTGATATAACAACTTATTATTTTGACGCACATGTTTAACGAAAGATTTTATGGTCTGTTGTCATGGAAGCGGTGTACAAAGTTTACAGCTCAGTAGCATCATAAAGAAAACTAATGACACACGTGACTGTTTTAAGGTACACGATAGTCTGCAGTCAGAATCACGAGGCCATGGATTAGCTGCTATTACGGGTAAGAAATGTGATATGAAATGTTATCAAAGCTATATTTGTCTGCTATTAATCCAACACATATAGCTTTGAAAACAATTGACAGGATAGAACAACAGGATGATCCTATTTGAGTTTGATTATAATGAATCGATCAACAGTGCGAGTTTATAAATATTCATTTGAGATATGAATAACTTTATTCAACGTTGCATACGTATTAACAAAGAACATTAGTTCATGCGAGCTATTGTTACGATAAACAAAGGTAACAGATGTGATCAAAGCAGTTGAGAGATTAAAGAGAGAGTTGTATTCCATACAAAAACATTAAAGCCATGAGTTTGGAAAAAGTACTTACAAAAATAAATATAAAATAGTATACAAGATTAGAATCAATTTCAATGACGATTTAATATGATACATGTGTGGCCTGGTGAACTATTTCACCATACAGTAATATTAGTTATTTGCATTTGTCATGTCGTTTTAATTTTATCATTTCTTATATAATATGAAGTACAGGTCAAGTCAGTGTAATGGTTTTAATGCAGAGTATGTATGTATGTATAGATATATAGCATATCTATATAGTACAGTGTCTACTCACACTACCTGTGATATAAAGAGATTTTTACCTGGACGTGTTCCATGTATGTATGATCATGTGATCTACCTGTCTGTGGTGTCCAGTTGAGCATGTACTGTCCATGTCCTGTGTGCATGATATATATGTATGTAATGTCCAGAACTAACTTGACCTTGACATGACCTTTTAGTTGACCTTGTGTTTTATTGGTTGATACTTTTTGGAGGGACAGTTCCTTTGTAAGAGCTTTCCACCCAGGGAGAAAGATAGAGACCTTTGAAAGGACCAGTTGTGTTTTTGAGGTCTTGGTACTTTTACCTATTGGCAAAGATAAGCATTCCAAAATATAAAGGACCAGATAAACGTTTATAAGATTGGATTGGTCCAATGTAAAGGATCAGCATATGACCCTGAACCCATAGTTGGGGGTTTTCAATTCAATTCACCTTTCTTAGACAAGATATCTGATACTCATGATTGTGTGCTGTTATGAAACCATGAATCACCAGAGTTAATAAACGATCGAACCCAACCCGGTTGTATATTGTCTTTGATCCAGAGTGCTTCAAGAATTTGCAACCCGGTTACACATGTATTAAAATACGGTGAGTCCATCTTCCGTGCATCTTCATCAATGATATTTCTATTCCGTATCGCCTGATTAGTTTTCCTTAATCACAAAGTATTTTCTTGTTAACCCACGGGTTATTTTTAGTATTTACTGATGGAGATGATATCGCTTAATTTCGGCCATTCCATATCATTAAAATGTATGAAGAGTTCATTAAACCGCTATGGGTAGTGTAATTTTGAGTGTCAGAGCCTTTGAGATTTATGTGGGGGGTGCAGGTCGTCCCCCTCCCGTCGCCAGAACACTGACGTTTGTCGGATAACGCTTGGAGACAGAACGAGTCTCTAGGAAACGGAAAACTTGTAATCAACCAACTTTTGAGATAAATTCTGTAACATAATTAGGATATGTGGTTTTGTTGTCCGTTATATCGCAAGGCTAGAGCACTGCGTATCCATATATGACCATCGCATGTCGCTTAGCGGATAGAGTCCAACAAGGCGGTGACAAACTATAAACAAGGGAAATATTTATACAGAAACCACAAGATCATGTGTTGCGGAATGGTCCTTTATTGCCGACATTAAGCAAAATACTCAAGATTATAACGTGTTATATTTGATAGCAACGAAAGCAACAGTTTTATATACAATATGTACATTTTACAAACCCTGATACACCATACCACAGTCCAAGTCCGTGGTCATACGTTATAGGAATCATTTGCCATCTACACACAAAATTCACGATAGGGAAGTTAAAAGTTAAAACAATTGGAAAACCATGAGGGAAATTGACAAAAGGAAAATGAAAAATTATGATAGGGAAACTGAGTGATGGTCTGAGATAAGTGGGTTATGTACACTGTATAAATACAGAAGTTAACAACTGTGTGTTTTACAAAATGTTCCAATCATTATTCTACTTCTAAAAATCTAAATGAGTATTTAAACATGTCAGTTGATTGAAGAAATTGAATGGAAAAGCACTAACTCGTTACATCGAATAGGTCTATAAACCGTAGTAGGCCTCGGATGTCTTTCTGGATTTACCTTACTCTGATTAATCACGGACTTAGATAGATCTAAGTCATTGGATTATTGTGAAAAAATGAACGATTTTTTTATCAGATACATAGAAAACAAACAAACAGACACATAGTTAGACATTACAAACATTGGTGATGATTCGTCTCGGCCATGTAGGCATCCTTACTAAAATTCTGACTTGACTATGATACAGTTCAATTAATTGATTAGCTCTACCATATTTGTGTACACGAGGATATGAATTTTAGCGAATGATATGTTATCAGAAGTTTGAGATAAAATTATAAAAACAAAAAATCATGTACAATCCGAATAAAATTTTCAGTGTTTGATTTGTTTTTTCGTTTTAGTTCCTATCTCAAGTGGGTTAATCTAACGTTTGTATCAAACGGAAACAAACCTAAGCGTCTCGGCGATATAGGAGGACGCGGAAGAAGATACTTTTCGAACAACATTTTATTCGAACAGCGGGGTAATCTAGATGACTTTCAGTAAGGAGTATGACATCGAACGATGAAACGAAAAACATCGAGCACGATTCCATTCGTGCTATTTGCAGAGAAACTGTTCACGGTAAGTACCCGTAAACGATCATTCAGTTGCTGCGATAGACCTCCCCTTCAGATTTTGCTGTGGGCAGCTGTCGGACTTCGCGATCGGCTGTCCTAGCTCCAACGACAGGAATCAAACATTCTAACAACTCAATTATTTCTGCTTTTTAAGTATTATGATTGCTATATTTCACATTAAACCCCTACGATTCCTGCGCTCCAACATGAACATGGACATAGCACAGTTATCCGACCATCAATGGCATCATAATTTAAATTGTTTGATTTCAGTTGTCTAAATCCTTTCAAATATATTGCAGCAACAACTGCAGAACCTCTCGTAATCATTCTTATGAAACCTGCACTGCAGTTGCTTTTACAGATAAAGAACAGCATAATAGCTGAATCAAACAATCTACATCGTCACACAATTATTGACGTAACCCTGTCCAACTACAGACTAAGAATAGATATATATCATAGTCCATGGTCCTACCTAGTGAGGGTGTCCAATTCAATATATCACGTTGGTTAATTCAGGCTAAGATGATATTCTACAAAACCTGATAACTGAACAACATTTAGGTGAAGTTTTATTTCTGTTTAGAAATTTCACAAGCAAATACTGTGTATGGAAACTTACCAACACTAGAAGTAAATGCAGCAAAATTAACCTGCATGTGATTTACTGACTTATGGACAAGGTTCTATACCCTGCTAAATGGAATGCAGAACCCAAATATTTTAATGGATAGATGACATTTGTCTGCCAAAATATTAACTTTTGATTTGAGTTAGGGTGCTGGGGCAACTTGAACTTGTTTTTAGTGGCTGCAGGAGCATGTAGTGAATGCCAGGTACATGTATACAAATACTGTCACACATATATCATTCTTTGTTGTGGCACATATATGTACTGTAGGTATACATGTATGGACTGCCAGTCTTATTGAATTTAATTGTACAATAAAAAAACATTGTGCCTCCTGTCCAACCCCAGCTTCTTACATGATTATTGCTAATGCAAGTATTTTTGTCTATTCCTATCAATAGTGTTATTATAAAAGATTACATTTTACTCTCCATTATGTACATTTTCAGGAGAAATAAGCAACATTTTGTGACTGCGTGCTTGTACAACAAATTTTATATTTACTCTCTGAAATATTTTATTTCAGGTTATGTGTTTTGGTCCTTGTTCCAAGGTCTAGGGCCTATGATATGGTTTTACCCACTCAATGAACTGGATATATCTGGATATGAAGCCTTTGTTGCCACATGGTTCTTTCCTCTTATACTTGGTCATCCATCAGTTCTTCGCCTTGTCCAGAACCGATGGGTCCTAGGTGTTCTGCGACTTCTGGTGGTGGCTAGCCTTGGCTCGTTTCAGGCTGGAACCACCCTCAGTAGACTTGCTATACTAGCCTTTGGGGCAGGGATCTCCATGTGTGTATTTACCGCCACACTATGGAACCCAAGTCCAAGGATAAGGTGAGAATTATTTAGTAGTATTGAATAAAGTAATCAGAAGAAAATGTAATACATATACCATTATGTTTACTTTTAGAGAATGATATATGAAAGTAAATCCCTAATTTTTTCAATAAAAACGATAATTTTCCATCTAGTGACAGTTCATACTCTTTCTATTTTTTCATTTGCTATTGAAATTGTTCAAACACATTGCGAGATCGTAATTATTCCGAACTATTGAAAGGGATATTGACATATGCCTCACTCTGACATCCTGTCATCGAGTTTACCAGAAATTTTATTTGGTGTTGTATATTGGATATTTTATGATTAAAAGTTAGTTTGGAGTACCAGACCACCAGACAGCAAGTATAGCAATAATGGATAACTTGAAGTTTATAAAGATTTCACTCATAAATTGTCATTTATTTATATATGAATTAATATAGTAGTAATCATTATTAGGAACTCTTTTGAAATAGAGGTGATTTTATTCATGTCATTGGGGCTGCTCTGTAAACAATCAAGCTTGGCTGTAAATATCAAGCTACTGGTTGGTAATGGCCATCAACCTCAACCTTATCTTCATATTTGTTTTCAATTTTGGCTGCTAAACTTTCTGAAGATGGAAGGAAATTTAAGCCAATGATGTATGAGCATAATGATGCAGTTACAAATATTTGATTTCATTTTTTTTTTAGCTCTGTTTGAAATTTGTCATATCACCTTAACTGCTTTACTTCACTGAGGTACTCTTTCATCATAGGAATTTTGTAGAAGTTGAAAGGTTTGATTTTTTGCTCTTTAACAATGTCCATCTCTAAGAGGTAAAAACACCTTTTATTTTGGTGATGATTATGTGAAAGTTTAGATTTTAAAAAGTAATTATAATGCAAAAATATTTTCCAATACAGGCTAGGAACATGGGTACCGGGTAACAGGAAATTATTTGTTTTCACATATTCTTAATACCTTAATTTCCTGAATAAGAGTCATTCATTGTATTTTTTAAAAGTAACCATTTTTGAAATAAATGTTTGTCTTTCATTTAGAGGAAACAGTACAATAAAAAAGCTAAAATTTCATTTGATTCAACAAGCCGAAAACTCTATAGCAACCAAAAACTAGAAATTTTGAAAACAATATGAAAATCCTTTGTTTGACCATCTTCTAGTATTCAACTTTTTATCAGTCTTTATGCATAGAAAAAGAAGTTTTCAGGGATACTTTTTTCATTATAAAGGTCCCAGTGTTTTAATTTTTGCAATTTCCATCCAAATAGAAAGTTTTTCCAAGATCAAGAAACATGCTGAAATATTTGTTTTTGGTTCCTTAAATTCAGAGAATGTGGTCCATCAAGTGGAAATTGACAAATAATTTCAGGGCTCTTGATCTGCCAGATTTGGGGCCGAATATCAGACCCATTCCCAATGCAAAATAGTATCTTTTTTTCCCAATTTAGACCCCAAGTTTTCCCAATTCTAAGGAAAACACCATTATTTTTCCTAATTCAAAGGGCCCCGGGCCCCGGTCCCAAAATGGGGTGTGAGAGCCCTGAATTTGTTGTGATGATTCAGGCAAAATTTAAAGAATTATTTCTTTTTAACAACAACACACAAGATTTAAATAAGGGAAATAACATATGTTGATTGCAAATTAACATCCATTAAAGCAAGTACTAATACGTTGTACTTCAAAAACAAAATGAACATTTTTGTGTATAATTTTCAGTTTGTTTTTATGCCTGCTAATTTTTGCTTTATATTTGATTTGAATGATTTTTTGTTTTTGTTGTACACATATGTAACTCCCCCAGAATTTTCTCATTAGCGAGAAATTATTGAGCGTTCATTATGACATGAATGTTTGATTTCAGAATTAAATACAAGGACCACACCTCTATGGTATCCGGTACCTATAGTTACACTTTTACCTTTTATTAATCAAAGTGCAATTTACAATATATATGTATGAATATTGTATTTAAGTTTTGAAAATTCTTTTCTTTTTTCCTTGTTTTCTTGTACCACTGCATCACCTTTTGTTTCTTTCATCATCTTCTTTTTTCACTATTTATTTATGTATGATTTTCGTTTTAATAAGCCAGGAAGGAATTCAGTGTCAAGTTCCGTCACCAGATTTTATGTACACTGAACTTTTCTTTAAAAATCTTGCAATAAACTGCAATCTAGAATTTACCTGTAAATAGTTAGGAGCTGATTACTGTACAATTGTAATTGAATTACAATGTATTAGAAATTCACCTTTTTTTATTGCAAATCGCAAATCCAACATGGCCACCATCTTGAAAACACATCTTTGACTTCTTCTCAAGTTCAAAATTTGAAATCTTGTATTTTATGTCAGATGACTGTTAAGGCCTATGGGCCTCTTGTTATATGTTTCTTTTCATGTGATAATTTCCAAACTCTGTAACTTAATGTTCAAAATATAAGTAACACATACACACATACTACTGTGTGTACTTTTACTTTCCAGTTTTTTATCAGGAAGGTTGTACAGTGGATATAATTCAGATGGTCCATGTATCCATATTTTATAAACTTATTGTTGCCCTGCTAACAGGCTTACAGCTATACTGCACTTTTTATCCTAACTTTTGGAAACTTCACTGATGTGATTATAATAATATCACCAAAATGCTGCTGCTGCTGCATGGGAAAGTGTGTTGCACATGTAGATGTCAGTATTTGTAAAAATTATGAAACTTTTCAAAAACTAAAAGAAATACAAAAAAAAAAAAAAAAAAAATACCACCAAAATTGTAGTGTATGTTTAGTTTTATCAACATGGTAATTTTACGAGTTGGGATTTATGCCCCTTCGCATTTTATTTTTAGCTAGATTTTGGTTTATATACCCAGTACAGCAACATACCTGGTAGACTTAAATCTATATCCATACTCATACATACGTTTGGACTAATATGTACCTATAAGAATATGAAAAAGTTAAACAGACAGTGAAATAAAACTGAAAAAGATATGAACTCATTTCATAAAAGTAATGTACATTAAAATGGATTTTATTTCAGCACTGTACGTGGAGGAGCTGGAGTATTATAAATAGTCTGTAACATGAAGTTCTAGTTCTGTATTTCATCTTCATTAGGGTTGTTTCAATAGTTATACCATAAAATAATACTAACACACACCCTTTAGTACTTTATATATAATGTGTGTTTTAATTGCTATGCTATAATAACCAATTGCAAGCTTGGAGGGGTAAGCTATTTCAACAACTATTAAAGAAAAATGACGTCATTAATTAAGCTGGTTTTATATAATGATAGTCATGTTTATAGAACCTTATACAGTAGATTTTTCATGCTTATATGTAGCTCATCGAAGAACGTATTTACACAAAGGTGATATATATTGGGTATACTTTTCCTAGAATCTGTAAAATTCAGAGTGATATGGAGTAGCAGTAGTGTTATATTTAGCAATTACACAGGGTTAAAAATGCCCCAAAAATCCCAATATTATTGATATCATTTTTGATAATGGGATCTGGGTATAGGAAAGACTTTATCTAATTTTTTCTAGTTTTATACAACAATATATAAATATAAAAGGGACTGATGACTCCTTCAAGATCACCATCATAAGACAAACATACCTGGTATCATTTTGTTTTAGACATAACAGTATTGTTAGTGAATAGCTGACTGATTAGTGGAGATAATTTGGTTTTTCTTCTTATCTGAGATATGGAAACAACCTTCATTATTATGTTATTACAAGGCTGGTGTAAAATTTCATGGTGAATTTTATCTAAATTTGATGTTATACCATGTTGATTTATACATTCATTTATTTACTTGTATTAGTCAGTCAAAAATTTGTTTGTCCATCCGTCTGTCCATCTTTTATTTGCCTGGAGATATCCACTGACAGTTTTTAATTAATCTCTTTCAAACTTGCTCAGTGTAATAAATATGAGGCGATGGAATTTTTGTGTTTTTCTGAATAGCGTTTAAAATGATTTTAATTTAATAGTTTTTGGAAGAAGGGTTATTGCCCTTTTTTCGGCATTTTTATCTTGTTCAGTGTTTTCTCCTCAATCTCTAAAACACATATGACATTGTTTTTCCATATGGCATACAGACTCAACATGTTTTGGAAGAGTTATTGCCCTTTGTTCTTTTTATCTTGTTTCTGTTGTTATTACATATGCATGTAATGATGTCTTTTTTATCCTGTCTGGAGATTTTCTCTCAGTTTTCAACTGATTTCTTTCAAACTTTTTTGCTTTTATATCAACGTAAATTTGTGATTTCTCATTTGCATTTCTGTAAACCAATTATTGTTTCATAACACACTATATTTGCCTTCATTTATAAACAATAATATAGAACTATATTTTTCCTTTGGCATGAAATGGGCATATATTGTTCTGGCCTGTGACACTCTCAAATGAAATTTAATTTGACTCATTAAATGATTGCTTGGAGAAAAAAAAACAAATGTGATCATTATTTTTAAGAAAAGTTATCCAGGGTTCTTCACCTATTTTCTTTATTTTTTTTTCATTTTGTTTGTAAAGATTGAATATTTTATGCTTTTGTTTTAAAGGACTAACAATGAAAGAGATTTGTCAATTTTATAAAGGAAAATAGTTGAATTAACATCACTCCTCAAATAACACTTAATTTTTAATTGTCATGGATTTTTGTTTCCAGAACCAACACATTTTGGGGACTAATGCTTGGTCTAATGTTGTTTGTGACTTCTCGTATCTGGTACGTGTCATTTATTCCTACGTGGTGGAATGATATCACAAACTCTGCTGTTATTGCCATAGCTACAGTTGCCGTTATAGATCAAGTTGTGTCAGGTTTGTATAAAATCTGTATTTATTTGTCAATTAAAGGGACTAATTGGTTAGATTTTAGGGTTTTTCTCCATGTATTTGATTTGGGGAAGAGTTTTTATACTTAAGATAGACTATCAGGATTCACAAAGCATTTACTGAGAAAAAATTATTAAGATTTTCAGCCTCTAACACACACTTGTTAACACTCGCTGTTGTGTCTACTGCCATTCGCTGTTTTGATCAGGGATAGCCAAGTTCATCACATGACCTTTCAGAACAGGTTTAACCCACTGCTTTGATATGATTTCTAAATTTTCCCATATCACACATGTGGAAAAGGAAAATGATAATGATATGAATGAGTGTTTGGTCCTTCTTACTGTAGTTTAAATCTTTTGACATTTACAATAAAATGGATATGAAAACTTTTAATTATCATAAGTAACAGAAAGTGCACAACTTTGAACAGATATTTAAATGTTATAATGCTTTTTATCAGTTCTGAAATGAAAATCTGACAATTTAGTCCCTTTAAAGGCATAACATAAGGTATTTTGGATATAAACTGAAGTGAGTGAAACAGTACTAGTATGTTTATTAGCCCAACATTATCAGATGGTGGGCCACAGGCACGAATTCTCAGCCCACGGACCACATATATGTATTATAGTCACCCAAATATATATTATATATGGACCTGTGTCCCTGTGCGATGGACTATTCAAATTAACTATATCCATGGTCTGTCCATTTGACTGTTAGTAAACAATTCTTGTATTGCAATTTCTTGAGCAGTACTGGATAGATTTCTCTCAAGTTCAAGGGACTGATCAGAAAACGGAAATGGCTGACAGGTGGCCATCTTGTATTTTGGCTTTGAAAATTTCCTTTTGCTTTTCCTTGAGAAGTAGAGATATATTTTTCTCAGTTTTTGTATGCAGGTTTTCTTTGGTCTCTAGTTATGCCCTTCTGAGTTGCGGACTAATTAGAAAAATAAAATGGCAGACATGCAACCATCTCAAATTTGGTAGCCAAAATTATTATTGGAATTTTTTAATTTCATGTAATTAAGAGCAAAACAGAGGAAAAAACGGTATAACTCTATTTTTTTAAAGAATAAATACAGATATAATGATGTTGGGTGCCAAATTTTCTCTTGGATCTCTTGTTTTATAAGTATATTTCATATTGACAGGTGCTGACATTGTTGACCACAAGGTAGGCGAGCAGACTTTTATAGACCGTCCACGCTGGTTCACCACAGCCTTGGGGTTTGGTAGCCTGTTGTACCTCACACACTGGTGTTTTGGGGAGGTTTCCTTGATAACACGCTGGACTGTCCGTGGTTACCCTTCACATGGACCCCTTCCTAACCCTTGGGGGTAAGAAAATCAACAAAAATGTAAAATTACATATCAATTTTTACTTTAACAGAAAATATGCAAATATTCATTAAAACACAGTAAGTTTGTAGATATAATGCTTATTTCAAGAATTTAAATATTCATGAATAATTCATTTGTAAAGCATTTTTTTATGTATTATTTCATTTGGATGAATTTGTAAATCTTCAATTTTCTAAAGTCTCTGTATTCATAGTAAGGCTATTTTTTAGTACCTGTATTTCATTGTCTTTATGATAATATTTAGTGCCTTGGTGCTACTCTGCCTTGCCATGGGCGTGTACCTTTCACCACGACAACGACTGGCCCAGAGTAAGGCCTGGTGGCTGATGGGACTTGTAGGTTTTGTTGCACTATACTATTTACCGACCTGGCAAGGATACGCAGGTAAAATTTCATTCATTTCACTATATACTGAAGTCATTATGAGTCTTAGTATTATTATAACGAAAGATTTTTTTTTTAGTGACAAAGATGCTGTTACTAGAAAAAACCTATATTCACAGAAATAACTGCGCCCACAAAAATTTTGTTCATTTTGTCAATTGTTATATGTCAAACTTTCAGTACAGTACAGTTTCACCTATTTTCAAATAATGCCAAAATATCAGAAGGATTTAAATTTGAAATTAAACAAGAGTTTTTTTTATGTATTCAAGGCTGAACTTAACACTGGACACAAAATTAATAGTGTTATACAAGAGTGAAAATAACTGAACACACGGTTCCCTGGTATATAGATTACAATGTTCATGTGGATATTGCATTAAAATTTCACAGTACCTGTGAATATGTAAGTATAGTTCTACAACAGTATATTTTTCCCAGGAGTTGTTCTTCGATAGTGATGAACCTGAATTAATATTAATTTATCAGTTTCTTACATCATGGATATAATTTTGTGGGGTAAAATTTCAGGTGGTCTAGTGTTAGCTGTGTATACAATGTCCATCTGGCCGGAGATGACTGACCGCTTGACCCTTTGTCCACCAGCCAGAACTCTTTTCGTAGTTATGGTGGTGTATCTTGTTGAAATCTTTTTCTTCGTGTGGACTGTAGCCTACAACTTTGTCCCGGGAGGTGTTTACACACGTGAACACACTGACTACCTCATACTTACTGTCATGACGGGCATCTTTCTTGGACTCTTTGCAGGTCAGTGGTTTTTGTCTAGCAACATCGAAGGATTAGTAGCAAGATTGTGGTGTTCATTTTCTAATAAAAACTTATTATTACTAGTTTTGGTCAATCTATGGAAATTTTGAGTGATTTCATTCATTTTTTCCCTATACCTATCGCTCTTTAACTGTTTATTGTTTCCTGTCTGAAATGTACATACAAGACATAAGCCTTAGGCAACAATTGAATTGTAGCAATGTAAAACTGGACTTCTCTTGAGCATAATACTTAATGGTCAGTCACAGTCCAGATCTATTCATGTCATACCCTCTCACATCTTACAGTATAATGTCATGGTTAATATTTAAGTTTCCAAGTTTAAAAGTATATCCATGTTGGTTTGGGTTTAATCTTTCATGTTGAGCGGTCGTATATTGGCGTCATCTTCTCCGTCTGTCCGTACGTCCATTTCTTGTAAACGCAACTCCTCCTAAACCAATCATCAGATTTTCATGAAACTTGCTCAATGTCACTACTACAATGGGTAGATGTGCATGAATAATTAAAAGGACCAATCTTGATCTTTATATTTTGTGGCGGCGTATATTGTGTCCACGGCACTCTTGTTAAAATTAACAGAATGGCATGAAAGATTTTTTCTGTAAAAATATTATAATGGAAACTCACACTCTAAAGTGAGTGAAATGACATACAGTTAGATGTTCAGTTTTAACATAGAACTCTTTTGGACATGAGGTAATTGTTGCAGTATAGTTACTTATAGACTGTGCATAGAATAGAAATATATGTAAAATGTGAACTAATTATTGACTATCTCTGTACAGGAGGACAGAAGAATATACCGAGTCACACTGCACATGCCGAAATCAACAACAACAGCAACGTCACAAGTCAGACAACTAACGCAGATACCAATTATAACAGAATGCCGTCCAGAAAAGTATTGTTAGGTGAGAACTGAGACAGATATGTTGGCATGTTTAATCTAATGTCTTCATATCAATGAGAAATATATCCCTTTTTCACCAGATGCTTTTACATACAATGAAGTATTTTTATACTATCTATACTATATTATTTATTCTTGTTTATCTATTTTTGTGTCAATTGTTGAAATTTTCTGAAATCCCTATGGAAATGACAACATTCCTCATTGAACTCACTGGTCTTACTGCTTAAGAAAAATATTGTTCAAAAGAATGACAAATTCTCTGTGGCAGTAAGTATATGGTTTGATAATGAGAGATATCATTTCATAAAAATTATTTCATGTGTGTTCCAGTGTTGCTTGTCGTGACGTGTACTGGTTTGTTGGGATTCGCTTCAAGATTTCAATCAATGCCATGCAACATAAAACAGAATCCAGTGGACCCAGAAAAGGTATACCTGCTGTTGTAAATAATTAGATTTCATTTGAAATATACCTGAACCAAAGGTAAGTGTGAGTCTCCACACCCAGCCTCAACTATTTCTTTTAACAACATTTTTTTTATTAACTAGAAGACCTAGGGTGTAGATATTTGGCCTGTAGCATTTTTAGATGAATGGCTACCAAGTTAGTTTAAATGAATGACTTTGACCTACTTTGAAGGTCATATGAGTCAAATATTGTAAGACTGTTAATATTTTTAGAAAAACAGTTCAAGATTAATCGTGCCATCAGCCTCTTTTACTCTTTTAGCATTGTTTTTAAAGAAGGAAATTAGTTTAGATGTTTGATCCTGTAATCAGGAAGAATTTTATCTGTTCAGTGAAAATGAGAAAAGATTCTGTTATTATCACATGACATAATATATTAGAAAGCAGAAAGGCAGAATTTTGTATAAATGTACATATTTTATATGTCCTACAGCCCCCAGTGTTCACAGCCATGATTTTGTAGAAATGTAGTTGTGTTATTTGTTCTACAGCCCAGAGTGTTCACAGCCATGATCTGGACCTACCATTTTGGTTATGACAATCAAGGCTGGCCAAGTCTGGAGAGATCAGCAAACTTGATCAAAGACACAGGTAAAAAGTCGTTTCATTGTCTTCTGGGAAAAAATCAGAAAGTTAATGTTGTCCTAAATACTGTGTGGAGTTTTGTGCTTGATGGCCATAAATAGTGTTGGTTTTGTTTGATTACCTTGACCTTTTCATTCTGTAACCTTTGACCTTGTGTTGTAGGTGCTGATGTAGTGACCTTACTGGAGAGTGACGCGTCCAAACCTTTTCTTGGTAACAATGACCTTGGCCTCTGGCTTGGAGAGAAACTAGGCATGTATGTTGACTTTGGGCCTTCTACCAAAGACCACACCTGGGGGTAAGTCCACATGTGCAGCAGGAATTGGAGTAGGGAAAGGGGGTTGTTACAGAAGACAGCAACATAACACATCGACAGCAGTCAGAGAGATCATGTACAGATACAACACATCTGTAGGGGAGTTAACATATCAGTATAGGTTTGAAACACTGGTATTCACCCATCTGTATGATAGGACTGGTGAGTTAAAGGAAGCAATTTACCCGGTATTACCTTACATTGTACCCATCAAACAGGGTTGTTGGATGAACTAGCTACCTTAGGTTTAGGATAAGTAATATGATTTATGCAACTGTTGAAAAAACTATTTCTAACAATAAGACCATGCACATTAAAAAGACCACTCATATTACAAATTAGTTCCTGTACCAAAGTATAATATTATGAGACTCTTTCACGTGTCAGGGTGTAGGATAGGGATATTCCAACCGAGATGTCACAAATGTCATAAAACCAAAGACTTTGTTGAAGGTTTTACCACATTTTGTAGCCTTGAGGGTGAAATATCCAATCCTTCACCCTGACTTATGAAAGAGTGTTTTTCTCTCATTTTTCATTCTGAAATATTGGGAAAATATAGATTCAGATGTTGTTTATGTATTACAATTTTTGTGATATTACACAAAAATCATATTTTTATTGATATAGAAAATGAATTCTTGGTACCTAAATTTGACAAACAAATTTTGATGTTGAAAATTGAAACTAAATACAAAGAGTCACTGTAAAGAACTATTTGTATACATGTTTGTATACATTATATCAGGCAATGACGTCATGAGGTAGGGACACGTCACATTTCTTTTGGCGTGTTGTTTGTATTGCATGGATGGGTATGTAATACAAGAACAGCGTACCTGTTTAACCAGAATTACACACCTAGAAATTAGAGAAGTCATTATCTTGTAATAAGCCCAGGGTCTGATGTTATGTACTGGGTATATTACATGACAAATATGATACTAATACTGAGAGATCTAAACATTACTGATACAGCTTTAATGATATACAGGTCTAACTCTTAATTGCTATTTTGTTTTTTTCTCTGTATTTTCTCTAAATGACTAACTCTTTGCTTTGATTTCAGAAATTTGATTTTGTCAAAGTATCCGATCATCAAGTCTACTCACCACCTTCTCCCTTCCCCGCATGGTAAGGTTTTAATATGAATTAACCACCTGTCAATCCAGTTAGGCATACAGACTACAACAGTACGGGTTGTCTGTATTGTATTGTTTTAGGGTTAATCCATAATTAACATTTACAATTTTGTGAAAAAAATTTATCACTGCTCCTGATCCAAAAATTAGATTTGAAGCCAAACAATAAAGATTAATTTTATGACCAAAAAAGTCAAGGTTAGTTCCTTCTTAGAATTTTAAAACAATGGTCATTTTTCATCTCCACTTTAACAGAAAATTTAAACTTTACTTTAAGATTAATGCACATGTCCAAATGTGATGACTTGGCAATGCATTATATCAGAAAACTTGTAAAATACTAACACCAACAAAAACTATGGAACTAAATGTGAAGGAGAAAGAAGTGACTGAGTGGAAAATGTAGCTAACAGTGTTTACTGTTCATTGAGTGATGCTGATGTCCTCAGGATTTACCCATGTTTAGTCTGCGGTATGGACAACCCATGTTATCAGAGAAACAGAACCGAGCATACAATTTAATCAATTGTTACACAGTTGAAGTTCAGAGAAAGAAATTGTCACCAGTTTGAAAAGATAGTGATATGAAATTAGGTTTTTATTCTTTTTAATTTTTCACCATGTTGCAAGTGTTTGATATTGCTTATGTTGAGTTCATGCTAAAATATCAACAAACACCCATGGATTAATGTACCTGGATGAGAGTCTTTTAAAAGTTTGTTTTACAAGTAGAAGTTGCATGTTGTGACCCATCAAAGCTGAAATGGATGTTCTAACCTTTGCATGACTACTAGTTTTTATACTTTATTAATATCAGCTTATTAACAATGACCTCTGAACTCTTCAATGTAAATTAGTAGTTTATTTGACAATTAAAGGGATATTATACACAAGTTAGGATTCCATAAGATGTTTTTTTATAGAAAATTGTACAAAATTATCTGCTTATGTTGTGATGGTAATTGTCCACCTCAATTTATCATTAATACATTTTAGCTAGATCAATTTACAAATGTTTGTGCAGAACTAATTGTGTCATGACAGTTTTGCATTAGCAGAGCAGCATGGAATAGTTTTGTAAAAGTATTAAATCAACAGAAAATAAGCTTAAGAAAGTAATGAAAATTGCGACTCCAGCGAAAATTTTAGTGAACAACTTTTACCCAATACTCTGCATAAAATCTGTGATCCAGTGACCTTTCAGTTGCCGATTTCCTGCTGCACTATATTTAGACGGTAAATATATCAGCTGGAGGTTCCCACCATTTTTCCTGTTCAAACTGACAATAGGAGATTTATTTTGATGTCAACAATAGTTTTAAAAGTCATAAGAACACTTTGCAACTTGGTCAGAATTTCATTTTAAATATACATCACACTAATATCATTTGGTTTCTTTTTTGTCATGAAGCCTCTATATTGCTATTTTTTGACAGACCAAAATTATCCCAGGTTTGCCTGAGCCAATAAAGTGCCCAAAGTGACATCAACTTTGTTGCTAACTTCCATTGATAGTGGTTGATAATTTAACAATCTATGTAGACTAAATTATCACTTTATACTTTTGATATGTAATTGGTACAGGTGAGTTGGCTCCAGCAGTGACTGCTAGTGTCAACATCAGCGGTCAAGCAGTTGATTTCGTGGTCACTCACATGGGCAATGACCGTGACATTCTGGACAGAAAGCTGCAAGCACAGTTCCTCGCCAAAGAACTGAAAAAAAGGTAACAATAGATACCTTCCTGATCTGATTAACAACCGAAGTCAACCAGGACATTGGTTCTCTCCCATTTCGTCAGTTTTTTGAAATTCAGTGTATCAGGATTTTGAAGACTTACTCTACCTGATTTCATAATTTTTTTCAAAAAAATGTTAAATTGCGGTACAAGAGTTATATACTGCCAGGAACTCAGTGGGATATTAATTCACTTTTCTTTACATTCATTATACTAATCCAGATTAGTACTTTTCATATACTTTTACTCTTCATACTAATATCTTTTTTAAAAACATAGTACATTTACTTTTATTACATCAATTGTAACCAAAAATTCTATAGACAAATATCGTATATTTAGGAGTAAAATCTGTAGAATTTAATACATTATTTTGATAATAATGATAGAAAGGAAAGCCAAACATGAGGTCTCTGATATTTAACTGGAATGGTTTCAACTTCCCTCATTGACTGGATAACTCAAAATATTTCCCCTGCAAGCTCTTCTTCAAGAATGATCTTTTCATATATACATTGTACATTCCACAGCCCAAATCCGGTGATATTTCTGGGATATGTGACCTCTGCCCCAGGGAGTCGTGACTACAAACAGCTTCTAAAGAAAGGTCTTGTCAAGGACATTGACCAGACTGACCGTGACAGATGGTGTGAATACATTATGTACCGCGACCTTATCAGGTACATACAGAAATTTTTTGTGAATATCAGATGATTTGTACATATTGATAGAGGCTCTGTAAGTTTACTTTCCTCCATGGTGAAATAAAACTTTCCACTTTTCCACGTGATTAAGATGACACCTACTCTGTTTCTACAGGCTAGGCTATGCAAGAATCACCCATGGGGGTCTCAGTGACACTGAAGTTCAAATAGCAAAATTCCTGATTCCTGAGGATCAGCATGATTTCAAGGATAATGGCAAGGTGACCACTGATTCCAGACAGGTCAACAAAAGTCTTCATTTTAATGTCAGGTAGGTACAACCTTACCTCATGTGATGGAAAACCGAGGAAAATTTACCATGATGTTACAGTGTATCAGTAATAGCATGTGATGGAAAACCGAGGCAAATTTACCATGATGTTACAGTGTATCAGTAATAGCACTATCAATGATGTGTTTGACTAATCATGAAATATCAGGTAGGTACAACCTTACCTCATGTGATGGAAAACCGAGGAAAATTTACCATGATGTTACAGTGTATCAGTAATAGCAGTATCAATCATGTGTTTGACTGGTTATGAAATAATCCTCATTTTAGTTTCCAATTCTGATATTTTTTTAAAGACAACTTTCTGTGAAATGTCTTTTGGAGTTGATTAAGCAGTATTTTGGACAAACTGGTCAGGATCATTATATTTTTCATGACCTTTTAAGAAGTAGGAGCTTGAGGTTGGTATAAGTCACAGATACATCCCAGCTCTAATAGTTCTTAAAAAGAACAGCTCTTCTTCATTGTCTGTTGATAATGTTTTTCCTTAGAGAGCTACTTATCAAGAATACCTGAACAACTTTCTCTCTAAATTTGGTCTTGGGTTAAGGAGTCAATTTTGTATGAATGATGAGTCCAGACCATCTTAGATCTTAATTAATGCCTAAATTAATGCCATTTTACTTTGTGGGTGGAGAACCTGTTTTGATAGAACTAAGATGTTGTACAAAGTGTACTGTAAAGTTTGGTCCAATTTTCCAAGTTCTCATATTTTGTATATGGAAAGTTATTCACAGTAGTTAATGAACATGATATTTTTCATGCCAGTTTCTTCAGTTTTAAAGGTGTCACTAGTACCTGTACCAAGAAGTGACCAGATACATCTTTTCTGTTTCAGATTCGGTTCTTTCCATGCTGGTCATGGATATTTTAAAGGACACAAATTCCATATGGATACGCCCAAGTACTTCTTGCCTTAACCTCATAGCCTTATCTGTTTTGGAAGAACAGGTGTTCGTTTTAAATATTACAGACCATCCGTTCCTGTCACATACGACACTCCTGGAAAACGAGTTCCAGGTACAAAATTTTGCCGTCCTCTCTATCAACATCACACAATACAGATGCTGCCTTACATCTGAAATGAGACACAAACTTTTAGAACTATTTTTTGAGATTTTCAAATACATGTTCTATAAAATAGTATTTTTTGACACATCTGTGTGTATATATTAAGACATACTAACTGAATAGTGTCTTACTTCATTTTGATGCAAGTTTGATAGATTGGGAGGAAAAGAAGCAGCATTGATTACTGTTAAAGTGTTTTAATTGGGTACATGGTTGGAGAGACTAGGGGATTTTTTTAGGAGGGGGTGGGGTTGGGAGACAGTGTAAAATTATGAAACATGTTGTGTATGGGCACATTTTGGAGTTTTTTAGTGAGTTTAACATTGTATTGAAAATCTAACACAGAACATAAGATTTGTAGAACTGTAGATTTTTAATAAAAAAAAATAATGCTTATGTTCTTAAAAGACTGAGAGTGGCTTATAAAGGATTCATTTGCCTAATATTGATATTTGTTTAAAAGATAACGTTACTGTAGAAATCTGTAAGGAGACATATTGTTCAAATGTCCTTTGTATGAAATCTTTGTCTCTGTTGAGATATTTCTTCCTAAGTTGAACTGAAACTTTGACAAAGTCACAGGTTTTATTGTATTTGAAGGAAAGTATTATGACATAAAAAATGGCATAATGTAAAAATATTACAATTTTTCAGATGTTATGCATTCAGATGTATGCACTGATTAAAAATCTACCACTGGGGTTGTTCCAAACAGCCTCAACTTTTTTATTTCACATTTCCAGTACCAGGTTTTTTTTTTTCTGAATGTTTCCAGATCCTGAAATGTATACCTGTTGTATTTAGCTGGTATTGTCCTTTCAGAGTTTAGTAGTTTTAATAAAGGGTTTTATAATTTTCTGTTCCTCAGTGAAATTTGATTCTGATTGACAGTGTTAGATATCTTTAGTAGTTATAGATGTTGTTTTTTGACCGTGGATTTATGTTTAAAAGATTTTGGTTGAAATAATCTTGGTTTCTGGTGCAGAGTTCAATGTTTGTACAAAATATCCAGGACTTGTAAATATATATATGTGTTGTCCGTGGTCTGGTTTAGTCGGAATCATCATGAAAATAGTCAATATCTATCTGTATTGTTGGCGTTTGTGAATTAACTACAACTTGTATATATTGGTCATTGGTTTGGGATATGCAATCCAGATTTTTGTGTTAATTTCTCTCTTTTGTTGGTCATAGTATTGTCTGTGTAGTTCAGAGTTTTCTGTTACATAATGATAAGTTACGTAATGGCCGCGATTGGAGTTTGTTGTCTAGATTTTTGTATGAATTGGTCACAGATTTGTTATGTGATGTTGTTTTCGTATCTAATGGCCATATGTTGATGTGATATTCAACAACTCGCCATATCACATGTTGGAGGAATGGTTCATGTGAGTGAGTTAAAATCTTTGTATTGTGAATCATACAGACACTGATTGACATAAACATCCTCAGCTTCAAATCAACGTTAACTACCTGTAAACCAACTTTCTTTTTGTGTGTTATTTTCTTTCGCGAACTTTATGATCTGAGCAAAATCATGAAAAATTATTCGCTGCAAATCAAAATAAAGATATTAAACATTATTTCCATATTACAAAATTATATATTTCGTTGGGCTCAAATTTTATGGTTTTCAATAAAAATACATTTTCGTTGATGTTTGATTTCACTGATAAAAGTTGCTGATGAAATTCTCTTGTGCTAAGTTAATGGGTATCCTGAACAGATTTATCATGTCATGGGCAAATTAATTTGTGGTTAAGAAGACCTCATGAAATCAGTGAAAATAAAAAGCCCTTTAAAATTAGTGATTTGACAGTAAATAAACATTATTGATTAATATTCCATGACTATCCTTTACATGTTGTGTTTTGTAGATATGTTAAAAAGTCATTTCTGCCAGTGTTTGATTCCAGTGATGTCTGGTAACTTCCAGATAAAGTCTGCTCAGTGTCATTGAGTTCATTGAATGGTTTACCTGTATAGGGTAGCTTACAAGCTTTTAAGTCACCATGATTGACCTTTATATAACTATTGTACAAGAAGCACAATACATTTACACCTTATTAATTTGCGAAGTTAGTGAAGCTGGTTTATTTATCAGTGTTTTGTAAAAAATGGGGCTCTGTATGGGATTAAAATGAAGACTCTGCACTTGTTGCACAGTTGTGGTTCTGACTTTGGGGAAAGTCAGTTGCAATAAACCTGTTGTATTACTGAAACTGTGAAAGTTAGCAGCAGTGAGAGAAAGTTGGTTTACATTCAAAGGTGTTAACAGTAAGGAGCTTGATTTAAAATATATTATATTTGGTCTTCATTGCCTTTATCAATGTACATGTAGCTGTTTAAATGGACACACCCATCTTAAACTAGGAAGTTAACTGTGATAGACTGATGATCCTTTATGACAAAACTAACAATGTGCCTCTTTATACTTATTGAAATCTTTGTCAGTAAATCTGTTGTCATATCTTTGCGACTGTAAAACCTTTCCCAAACTAATCCTGTGCCTGTGGATTAATCTGTTTTGAAAAAGACAATTTATATCTTTTTGATACCAAAGATTTCTGACAAATATACTACTGAAAACTGATAGGGAAGGAGAAATGGGAGATTTTCAGTACAGAGAAGTGTGTAAGAACTACAGAAATTGATTTGTGAATGAGAGCTTTGTCTGTGATCAAGTTAGTGTTTGTTTTTTATATATAAATTTATATATCTATATACCCATATGTACATTGTTATATTATTACTACAGACAATCTTCCTACTGATAATTCATCTGTATCATTATTTTGGACATAATTGATCAGTCTTCGATCAATATGTAATTAAACCCAATTTTAACAGAAGATCATTGTAAAGGGAGGTAACAAGTGTATTTTGTTTTAAATTTTGTTGTTATATTACTTGACAGAGTATGTTTCTCATAAATGAATGAGAATTGTTCCATTTGTCGAAAACAATGCAAAAAAATGATAGAAGTGAATCTTATCTCTTGTGATTGATGTAATGGTGGCGTTATTGTGTAAGAAAACTCACATCAATACATATCATCGTATAAATGTGATACAAATCTGGACATGATTAGGGAAGCTTTTTCTTGCCTGTCTAAACTGGATCTACATCCTGATGATCCATGTAGTGTTGTACTTATCTAAGATATATGTATATATATACTGTTGTATAACTGATTCGTAGAAATTTTGTCTTGGCTTGGGTTTATATACGTATATATAAGTTGTATGCAGGAAATGACTGAATATGCAGACTTGATAGAATCTTTCATCATTTTTTGGGTGAGAAAGGGGATTTCAAGAAGATTGGAAAGATTATAAAGTTGGTATGCAAAAGGTTTGTGTAATGTTTGCAACTTAATAATCTTTACCAAAGGGTTGAGATTCCTCTATCTCACACACAAGTAGATGAATTAACACTTTGCTGATGCTACATGCCTTCTTACCTTTGGGTTATTGTTATCTCAAAGCTTTTTATTGTTGACGTGACATCAGTGAGATGGATTAGAATCCCCATCTCAGTCCTGCAGTGAGACAAGTCAGTATTCACAGTGGTTAAAGCATTGATTTCCACAGGAAGAGAACTTATATATCTTAAACTATATTATATAAAATATATGCAGATGGAAGAATAATGCAACATCATTATTCAATACACATATTAACTATTTATATTGATGAAGTTACCTTATTCAGATTTTTATATCACACATATGATGTATTACATTGTTTTCATATTACAGTATGAGTGGGGTAGTGGGCTGCAGCAATTTGTACAGTACTTTATTGTATTAAAGTTTTGGGAATTTTAAATAATGTGTGTGGAATTTAAAAAGATATGTTTACTTTAATTAAGAAATATCTTAATTTCATTTCATTAATTCTTAGTATCTTTGATAGGTAGTGAATGCTTTTTAGAAAAGAAAAACTATTATAGTGTAGTGTTATTTGAAGTGTACTCTAATCAATAGTGTTTTTCATTAATTGATTGAATAATTATGGCCCACCACATAGTGGTGAATGTCCAACAGTGGTTGCTCTGCCAGTCTGTCCATCCGTCTGAATCATATTTATGTCCACTCCATAATTTTGTAATATATTTGAGGGATGGCACTTTGTCATATTTTTAACCACTATAAAGTGTGCCACATACCTAATTATTGTGTATCCTTTTATGGTAAAATTTAAACCTAAGGAAGTTAATAGTTTTATTGTGGGACTACAGAAATTTATGTCCATTTCATTTCTATATAACCAGTCTAAGTAGAGGGATGAAACTTTGCATGATTGTTAAACACTATGAGAAGGTTAGATGGTATTTCATTTATTTGTTCTTCATAGATCAATATCTGAACTTTAGACTTTTCATTGTACTCAAAACAATGAAATAAAGACATTTGTATCCACTCTATAACTAGGCAGTCATTTAAGTCTTGCCAGGGCCCTTATAGATAATTTCCATCTCCACGTCATCTAGTTTAACTTGATATAAAAAGTGAATAATTAGGTTACATGTGAGTTTTATTTTCACATTTTGCCAAATTTTGTTAACCAAGTGTGTAGCTTATATGTACAGTTTACTCATATTAGAGTAAAAAAATTTAGATTGTTGAAATTTCTTGGTGTTCTAATGTGAGGTAACTGTACTTGTTAAATATGATCTGTATAAAAATGGCATACATTATGGGTTGGTTAGATTTAAAGTCACTTACATTCCATCATTTGCCTTGTTGTGTTTGTTAAAAATGATCATTATGTGTCATGTGTTGATGATGAAGCTATGTTTTTGTTTTGTATGTATTTTTGTTTTTGTTTTCCTCAATTTGTACAATTAGACAATCTAAAAGGACTGGTGACTGAAAGGTAATGTTATCTATTGATTAAATATTTGCAAATCATACATACACTGTGCATGTAAATCTGTTAGTGTACATGTTTTCCAAAAGTTTTCAGACAACGAGTAATGACAGCTTCAATTTTTACTCCTTGTAAATCT